CTTGTCCGAGAGAAATTATTTATTGGTGATATCAGTGACGCTGCGGATATCCTTGAAAATGGTAGCGATGAAATCACGCATATCTTATCGGTCCTTAGCTCTGCTTCAATATCATTCTTTTCCGAGTGGCGAAGTAGCCTAACGATCCCGGCAAAGGAAATTAAGAAGGTATATGTGGGTGGTGGTCACGGTGGTGCTTCTGATGATGACTTGGGTGATATATCAAGAAGTCCGTTGTCACTGGAAAGCCTTCTGTACTCGTTGGAATATGCAGGTAAGGATCTGAAGTTGGTGAGGATGGCTGTTCCTCTGAGGGATACGGAAAATGAAGATTTATTGGATTACTTGGATGTTTGCGTCAATTTTATTGATCGAAGTAGGAAAGATGGTTCTGTTTTGGTGCACTGCTTTGCTGGAGTATCAAGAAGGTATCATTTGTATTATATAACCAATTTTCTTCAATTTGCTTCATCAGTTAATTGCCTTGATTCTTCCTGCTCAGTGAAAGTAATTAATTGAGAATTTGCTAGAAGTCTAGAGGCATGTGTCAATTTTCCTTCTGAGCTTATGCCTGGCTTCTCTGGTCCTAGCATTACAGTTTTAATGGTTTAGAATATGATGATGCCGTCGAACAGGATGGTGGTAGTGTCAATAACTGATAAACAAGCAAATAAATTGGAGTGGGTTTGATTATATATATATATATTATTTTATTTTTGAGGGGGGGGGGGATATGAGGTGACGGTGTGAGTGTGATTGGTACACAAATTGGAGCGAATTATAGAATGTTTTATACAAACCTTTAATGACATATGAAAGTGTAATAACATCATCAATAGAATTTTTTTAGTCGTGCATCATTAAGCCATTTACATGAATTTCTCACATGCAGTGATTTGGAACAAAAGACAGCAGTTTGGCTAAGGAAAGAATTAGTTCTGAACTAAAGGGAAATTTGTGGAACTTGTGCCATCTTACTGTTAATATATTGCTGAAGTATCTGGTAATTCATTTAATATATCACAACTTCAGAAGATTTTGAGGTTATCACTGTGAATAAGAGTTATAGATATATGATAATTCTAGCAAATTCTGGTGCTTAACGTCTGATAATTTTTTACTTGCCTCCTAACTATCTTCTGTCTCCCATTATAAAAATAAATAAACAAATAAAAGGGAGGAGAAATCATTTTTAAAATTTTATTCTGATGTAATACTCTATTTAACTCCTATCACAGTAACTTAGATATATTATTAGGTCTTTTTCTATGACCCTTTAATAGTGCTATAGTATATACAAACTGGGCTTTTACAGTTTGTTTTTTATGTCTCTTTACTTATTAATTTCAGAAATGGTGTAAAGAGCTTAAATTGTAACTGCTTTTCCACTTTTGTGAATTGTCTAGTCTTAAGGGTTTACATCCTTCTTTGCGTGTGTTCATACAGTGCAGCAATCATTACAGCATATCTGATGAGATCTGAACATCTATCTCAAGAAGGTGTGAACCGCCACATTGTATAAAGTCTTCAGGGATTACATGTTGGTACATGCAAGTAGCTTCCTATTTCAATACACCTAATTATAGTAGCAGATATTGTTAACAACAAAATCGACCTGTGTCTTTACCCTGCTAAAGAACAGTTCAAGGAACTGGTAACTGAACCAGCTGATTCTCACAATAAACATTACCCCATTCCAAATGGAAAAGGATGGGAAAAAATGTATTGGCTATTCCGCCTTATTATTATTAGTTCAATTGTCAATTAGAGAATTCTTTACCACACCCTAGTGTTCTTCCCTTCTTTTTTGAACTGAATGTATTTAAGTATGTGTCTCTTAGATTTAATTGTCATTTTTTCCTTGTCTTCTATAATTATTTTCCTGTGCCTGCAGATGCCCTTCAATCATTAAGGAAGAGCTGTGAATTCGTTTGCCCCAATGACGGTTTTCTAGAGCAGGTGTACAATGAAACTTCACAACATATGGTTCATTCATTTGTTTTTTTTAATCTCCTACCAATCAGAATTATGACATCATTTTAATTTTTTTTTTAAACTTCAGTTAAAAATGTATGAGGAGATGGGCTTTAAGGTGGATCGCTCTAGCTCTATATACAGGCGCTTTCGTTTGAGAGTATTGGGTATGGCTTCGACTCTGTCTGCTCTGCTGTTTTGTTATCTCTTATCTTCCTTGTAAGTTTTAATGGTAGCATGACATGTAATAGATAGGCTTTATTCCTCATTGTGAAAAATATCTAAAGTTCACCTATCAAATAAAATAGAAGGCCAAGGGATAGATTAATGTAGAAGACAAACTTAAAAGTCATGATTGTTCAAATCTCCTAATAGAGTGCTACTTGAGAGACACTATTTATATTTCGTTACCACTTATTGATATTGATCTTTTTATTTTTGGTGGAGAGAGGTATTAATCTTTTCAAATGCTTGAAAAAGCAGTTTTGTTTGCTTATCCTCTCCCCATAATACCTAGTCCAAAGGCCATATGTTGTATTTAGAATTTTCTTTTTTCAAAAAAAAATAGAATTAGAATTAGAAATAAAAGAATTAAAGAAGGTAGTAAATAAGGCAACAACCACCAAGCCTATGCAACCAAACTTGAGTGTAGGTCAAGGGTAGACGGTAGTGTTGCTCCCTGTCGCAAATTCTATTGTATGATTACCTAAGACACGGCATTCAACAGTGAAAGATTAATTATGATTCACGCTCACCTGTGCCTCCAATCTTAAATCAAGAGATTTTTGGCTACAACTACTTTTTATCTTTCTCTTTACTTGGATGAGGGAGAGGGGAGTTGAGGTCTAAAATGATTTATGATAAATGCCTTGTTCACATTTTCCTAATCTCTATCATTAATTTTTTTATTCCCTTGAGTGTTCATGTCATCATACGTAGGTGACAGATGGCTCTTCTTTTCATTATTATATGTTAATATTGACTGTTTTCTGAGTAGTGATTGTTCTGATTGTTTCGGTTTTATGCATGCTTTGGTATTCATATCATGAATCTTTTGGTCTGTTTCAGTCTTCAAAATTTAATAAGGTCGCTCCTTGTTTGTGTCATCTGAGGATTTTTTTTTTTTTTTTAATCTCATCCTTTCAGGTCAGAATTATAACTCAGGAGTCAGAGTAGACGGTTCTAAACTTGGAGCTGATCCTGGCATACCTGTCAGTGTTTCTTCAGAGGTAGGAGCTCCAAGAGCAGAAAATAATTGTAGTCCTACATATCGCTGCAGGAAGTGCCGACGTGTAGTTGCATTGAAGGACCATGTTGTAGACCATGTTCCAGGTGAAGGGGAGACATCCAGCGAGTGGCATAAGTGGAGAAGTGACAGCCTCTATAACAAATGTAATGAATCTGAGTGTTCTTCTATATTTATTGAGCCACTACAGTGGATGAAAGCAGGTAAACAATCACTCAACCAATCCCCCCCACCCCAACCCCCACCCCCAACCAAAAGGAAAAGGTCATGACGGTGAGGTAGCAAACTAGTATAAATATATTTACATGCTTATGATGCTTGCAAAATCTTACCTTTTTTTCCGCTAAAATTTTGAAGCTTGCTCTGAATGTTATATGGATGGGTTCACTCTAGTGTTTCTTTTGAGTTCTCATCAATTCTCAGAGATTTTTTTCCTTAAATAAGAAAACCCCCAAATTTTAAAAATTAAGGTGCCTTTGGTCATTTACAATATGTAGATGTATTCAGCAAAAAAATTCTAAAGTTTTGTTTCACTGATATATTTCTTAATTCAGTTGAGGAAGGTGCATCGGAGGGGAAGTTGAGCTGTGCCCACTGTGACGCTCGGTTGGGAAACTTCAATTGGTTTGGCATACAATGCAGCTGTGGAAGCTGGATAACCCCTGCCTTTCAGATCCACAAGTGCCGAGTGGATAGAAGCCCTGTCTAACTTTACACTTTATGTCCACCAACTTTACGCAGCTTCATGCGTGTCCTCATTGGGAGACCATCGACATATCTTGTCAGAAAACGTATATTCTGCTCAAGTTTCCCAAGCCAATGGAATTGAAAGCGATTGAACCCTTCTTGAACTGCTTGCCTTACGGAAAGACTTTTTAGTCAATAGAAGCTCTCCTTGAAAGGTTTCGAATATTTCTAGTAAATACAGCACCATGAGTTGGGTTTTTTCCCTTTATGTGGGCTTGATTGGTTGATGGGTTGTAATTAATGCATGAAGGGATTTGTTCATGCCCCCTGTTTTCGGTTGGTATCTTTATGAATATGATTGCGTCGAGGGTGAAGAATAAGATACCTGATACTTGAATTTATTAGGAGCTTCTGGGATTATTTGTGGAATAGTTTTGAGCCATCTATGATCTAAAGATTGGTACATTTCCTGCCTTAATTAGTCTTTGCCAGTTGTATATATTTATAGCCGCGGAAATGCCAGGCTGATTGTTTCTCCAGAAAATGGGTTTCAAGCGTAGTAAATAACTACGAGTTTATTCTATACGAACGATGAAATGACTCGTGCCCAGAAACAACTGGGGATCATTGCAATTTTTATGTTCTTGTGATATTTATAATTTATTCACATAGTAATAATTGAATTTAGATGTTAACAATTCATAACAAGATGTTTTTAAGTTAATTACACTGCTCACTTTTTATATTATATGAGAAGACATTTCTAGTTAAATGGTAAGAACTGAGAATACATGTGGTCTCTAGTTGTCAAACAATAAAATGGAATGCTTTCTAATTTTTTTTGAAGTTACATTCATAACTAATATAATTTAAATAATTTCTTATTAAAAAAAGACATAATCATAATTATAGCACATGCAATTCATTATTCTTCAGATTCCTTATTTGTTACGCAAAATTTTCGAATGTTCTAAAACAAGAAGGAGCAAGCCCTTTTGCAAATCTATGACATTAAAAAGATCTAAATAAAGATTTATCTCAAACTAACCGTCATATCCTTCGGCATTTATACCTCCCAGACGAAAATTCGAGAGAAGTAGAATCAATAAATGTGATTATCATATTGAGGAACGAGGAGCACCTTCCTCTCCTCCTAGGGTAACAAACTTTTTTTCTCTTTGAAGATGTGAGGGAATAAACTGGGAATATCGCAATAGACTTGACGCAGACCGCATGAGATGCCTTTTTCGTAGCCTAGTAGAGTAAAGCATGAATGTGCCAGAACAATCTGCATATAACAACCTATCAGGCTGTCACTACAGCTATCCGATTCACATGTAAAATGATGGGCATGTTTTTCTTATGGTATAAGTAATTTGTACAGGTTCCTAATTCTCAGCCATCCGACATTCCTAAACAGGAGACATGGAAAGAAAAGGAGGAACCCCGGTTGAGGATGGCATCAAAAAATGTCTGAAGTTACCATAACCATGACCATCCTCACATCAGAATCATCGAGCCTCCAGGACTTCATGATGTGGCTTCCATATGTCAAAATGAAAACAATTAGGCTTTCATTTATGCAATGACTCTATTGGTGGGATTGTGCCTCCAGCAGAATGTTTGTGGCCACATTAACATCGTTCCTGGCCTGCACTAGTGCCTGTCTAGCAGAATCCCTATCAAAGCCCATAGAGGTAAGTGTAGAGATAGAGTCCTCGGATGGTTCTGGGACAGATTGCGCAGGAGCAGGGTAGTTCCTCTGCAACAAACAGAAAGTTCTCAAGTAAGCCAACATAATTCTAATTGTCAGCTACTCAGACTCAAATAGATTCCATATAATTCATCCTAAAGATGGGCCAATAAATGTTCAACTAACTACAAATAGTCATAAATTACTGCGTCTAATTTTATGGCTACCCTTCTCAACAATGCATGACTAAAACTACAACAACAACAACAACAACAACAACAAGCCTTTATCCCACTAGGTGGGGTCGGCTACATGGATTGCAAGACGCCATTATGACTAAAACTAAAATACAATTTTTTACAAGATGGAAATGTTGATTAAATAATCTGTGCACAGCTCCAAAATGTTCGGTAGCAAACCAATGGCAGGTAACAGCCTTCCAAGCTTTCAGGGATACTCCAAAATGCTCAATGGCACTTACGCCAAATCACCCACTTCATAACCTCAAAAGAAATAAAGCTAGATTTCTTTTTCCCCCCTTCCCTAACTTGTTTTCAGCCAAAACAAAAGAATCAGATTTACAAGCTAACAAGTGAGTCTACAGATTTCCTGCTTCTATCAGCTATTTCTCAAACAATAAAATGAAATATAGAAAATTTTACTGAACCCATTGTGATAATTGCAGTCTGAATTAAAGATTCAAGAGAAACAGCATACTCATAATGATAAATTTTATGGCAAAAAACTGCATAATTTTTTTTTTTTTGTAGGTGTTGTCAGGGAGACCACTAGGGATATTTAGCAGCATCAAGCATAAAATAGCCAAAATTGTTAATATTACTATCCCATAAAAACTGATTGAGTTATTGATATCATGATTATAATGCAACCAAAATAGTGAAACAGTTGTGAGCACAGAATAAAAAAAAATAACCTCCATCTGGCGAGCTGGATAGGATGGCATATTTCCCACTACGTTCCTTGTTGATGCTGAACGTGGACTCCCCATGGATGGCAAAGAAATCCTTGAAAAGAAGGAGGCAATAAACGCTGGGAACTGTAATGCAGAATGTCAGAACACAATCATGTATTAATTACAATTTACAATTACTAGCAAGTGATCAAATCAAATAATTGCATATTAAAACAATCTATATTTACAGTCTTTGAATATCATTATTCTCTCTCTCTGGAACTGATTTGAACATCATCATAAACGCAGGCATGCAGCGCCACAAGATTTTGATCCCTTTTAAAAAAACCCTCAATCTTCAGACTAAAAATTACCTTTGCTCTGCGTATGTAGAAGACATTTAAACGGTACAAGGAACCAGCAAGGATGCCACACATCCCTGGTAAAAGAGACCTTTTCCACGATGATAAAAGAAGCTGCAATAAAATTAACTAGCTTTAGCAGCTGACTGTTCATGAAATATACAGCTATTGTTTATAAAAACACAGACAATAACATATAATTCACCTGTAACTTACCTGTAGACCAGCTAGATATATGAATGATTTATCAGAGAAGTGGAAACCAGCTACATGAAACCGTGTTGAAACTGGAATGTCAAAGAAAAAGGGCACAAATGAAGCAAATATAAGACCATAGGGTCCAGAGGTGACTAAGTTTGCCGCAGGATCTGCAGAGAGTGACAACAATTGGACAATAAGAATTTCAGAAACATAAATTACTTTGCTGCATTGTGCACAGAGCAACATGAATTAATCACATTATAAATCTTTAACTTCAGTCCTATAATATGCAAATTTAAAAGAGTATTTCATAAGATTCAGTGTGAACTGTTCTATCAAATTCTCACATGATAATTTTACTCATCTGGCCCTTGAAAGAACTAGGCATGACATGCCTATATCATTTAGCATGCCACAAGGCAAAACTAAAGCTAAAAAAAAAAAAACACTAAAGAGATGACCTAGAATTCTTTATTCTTCTACATGGCATAGAAATTTCATTCTAGCCATCAAGATCTGTTGTTTAGATTTTACTAAACAAACCTGCTCAAGGCATCTATACCTCTTTGCAGCCTAATATGAGTTATCCAATATAATTGGACAGCTCAAAGAAAAACCTGGATATTAATGTCTCGAAACACAAACACTCATCTATATCTCTATAGAGGGTACTTGTTCTCAGTTTTCTTAAAACTTCTCTTCCTTAGCTTCCTGTCCCATCCACCAACATTTGAAAAAGTTTTCTTTTTTCTTTTTCCTTTTTTTTTGCTTCCAATCAATCATCCAGTATTTTATTCTTTATTGTCATAATGGAAGTGGCTCTTTCTGTTGGTAAATAATGGACAAATGAATAGGAATAAGATGAGATCATGGAATGGACTGACACGATTCCTTGGATGTATTAATGAATGATCAGATTTAGCTGTAAAGAGATATAGAAGAAAATGACTAGACAGGATCCATTTCCACCCGCTCACACCCTTGAAACTGGAAAGCTAAGTACGCTCATGGAAGATAAGGGTTTGATTCCATGATTATTACGGTTGGACCAAAAACATATGTACTGTTAGGCCTCCAAAACAGTAAGAAAAATATGGATGATCTAGAATCTAAGTGATTGTCAACTGTCATTCTGCTTTTGATATTAGCCACGAGCCAGTGGCTAAGTACAGATGTATCCATGCAGTTTGCAGTTAGACAAACATAATGAAAAGCTGACTCTGGGGTAATTTAGACTTGAGTAGAGTTATGATACATACACTTTCCACTTAATTCTGTACATGATTTAACTCTGGAAGGCCTATGGACATGCTTCAAAGACAAGCAACTCAACAGCCATCTGCTCAAGTAGCATTTCTCACATAATTTCCTTTTCATATAACATATTTTCTGATCTTAGTTTTCACTCCACATTTAAAAAAGAATAATGTTACCCCTGTGTACATCTATATAACTACTTTACCCCACTATTGGCACTCTGCACTCCTAAAAACATAGAACTCAATTTATCAAATTAAGTCTTGGATCTGGTATTCTGTTATCATTCATTTAAAACTCTCAGTTCAAGAGATAGACTTACAACAGAGTACATGCTAGGTAAGCTCAGTGCTTGTTGCATGAGGAAGCAGTTACTATCCTGCCATGCAATAATATAGAGGCCTAAGGGCCAATATATCAAAATCAAAAGGGAAAGCCCTACATCTTGTCATCAGGAAATGCATTGAACAAGTCAGTTTGAATAATGATAGACTTACAAGAATGGCAAGCTATACCTATGTTACTTGTTTATTTGCATCATCCTTAGACATGTCAATATATAGGACCAATAGCAAGCAAAGACAAACTCAAAGCTGAAATAGGAAAAAGAAACCAGCCCAACTCCTGCTTAGAACCCCTAAAGGGCATCCATGATCCAACTCAAAGAACCCACCATCAAAGCGGAAAAAATAATAGGTTAATTATAGGAATTATGAATTAAAACATTACATGACAAAAGCTTGACAATATTTAGTCATCAAAATTCAAATAATGCAAGCAATGTGGTTATAACCAACTTATTATCACAGTCATGACCACATGAGGTATTCAGGAACAAATGATAAATTCAATAGGTCATCTTGCACTATGTCAAACATCCTAAAGTTCCATTTACTGATACAGGCCACTGACAGAAACCATGACCAACAACAACTTGTAATGTTGGTGCTGGGAAGGCACCTTATAAAAGAAAAGAAGAGGCAAAAACTGTCAAGAAGGAAACTAAGCGCAAGAACATAAGCACCATGCAGGAGCAAAATATGAAGCAAACGCTATCATTAAAACATGCATTAGAAAACAGATTGATCAAACAAGGTTCTGGAGTTGAAAGGCAAGATAAAATATTATATTAAGAATGAATACCTTTTAAGATTGCTACAGAAAGCACCTCAAATAGTAGTGATATTAACATGGAGAATGTGATGAAGACCTGCATTAGGAGTGGAGATATTTCAAAATAATATACAGGGTATAGAAAATAGTGTAATGCCCCTGAAAGAAAAACAAAATAAACTTAGCAGGTTGCTTGAGGCAATGATGGCATTGAAATAAATCACACAAATTGCAAACATTGATGATAGAGTAATTGCTATTTTTGAAATCTTATGACAAAATGATTGTGCTAGACTAATGACAATTTCTGCGAGGTAACAAATAGCATTGACAGTAGCAACATAAAAATGGTTCAGCAAAGGGCATCAATCTTAAATAAACATATTCTAATCTATTCATCAACCTTTGGTCAGGCCAAACTTGGTCCTGGAAATATATTAGAAGATTGCTCAAAAATTCTTGAATATAAACTCACAACTGACTTACCGAGTATTTATTGGAACCTATCTGTCTCTCAAAGACCCTAAAATAATATAGCAGAAACAGTCCAAACATCGACTCCGGGGTTGATGAAAAGGCAAATATGGACATAATCAACTTCCAAAGGCGAAGCTTTCCAAATATGTCCTGCCAGGGAGTGAGCAATATAGGGTAAGAGTATGTAGAAATTGTATGAGGTTCACCAGTCTTTTTTTCCTTTCATTTTTATTGACAACAACAGTCAGATAATTCTCTTTGTAAATATTCTTCCTCCAGGCATGTTCATCTCTAGCAAGATCTTGACAACAATTTACAAGGAAAACGGAGTCTACTAATGAAGCTCTGATTTATAGCAAATGAAAATTATGTCAGATCAATTGCATGACCTTAGTATCACAAATTCACAATTAGCGTGCCAGGTAATCTGGCTCTGCAACTTGAATAATGGTAGCAAAAAGTATCAGTGACCCAATTTAAAAGAAATCGAAGTAGAAATTAAAGTGCACGTTTAAGGATTAATAACAATATCCTCAAGCGTCAAACTTAATTTGCATATTGAAATACCCAACGGCCAGTTCGTTTTAATATTCTAACAAAGATTAAAACTATCGATTCAAACGTACAATTGCTTTGGCATCTATTAAGGAATTTCTTTTACCCCAGATAGTAAATCAGAGAAAACAAAAATAGATCAAACAAATTGGGAAGGGCACCTGATAAGACAATCCCAGTCTATTATAACGGCCTTGGATCCCGAAGAAGATAGTAAAAAGAGCTGATGCGATGATGAAAGTCCTTGTGACAGGAGCATTGGCTGTAACATACACAGACAACTAAGCATTTGATTATGAATCTAAGAGAAAAATATTTCCAATAAGTGCACCCTGATTATTATTGGGTTAAAAAAAAGAGACAGTACGCACTAAAACCAGATGGGCCGGCGTTCATCTTCTCAGTGAAGCAGAAAGCAATGGCCTTTGCCGCTTGATTGCCCGAGTCTATGTCTTGGTCTGTTTCCGACTCGGTTGTTTTTCTTGCACTGAACCCCCTTCTTCTTCTTCTCCGTTTTCTTTTCCCCGCTTCGTATATTTCACTTTCAGATTCGTATAGTATTTCATTAACGCAGATGTTTAATTACTCCTCAGCGTACCTGAGTTATTTTGTAATATAAAAAAGAAAAATTTCACCTCACTGTTGCAGGGAATCTTTTTAAATATAAAAAAGAAAAATTTCAACTCGCAGAAAGCCATACTTGATTTAAAAAAAAAAAAAAGTGTGCACACTGTGATTTAAGATAAAAATCTGCACGTGAAAAAATCTTTTTTTTTTTGGATAATTGCATGTCAAAAAATCTTTACTTTTATAAATTGCATTGAATTACTGTTCTTTTTACGTTATTTTTCCCACAAAGCCCCATAATTTATTTTAATCTTGTATTATCTTTCTTACTTCATTGTAGAGGTATCTGCCGATCTGACGACAAAAAACAAAAACAAAAGTAGGGCCAGGAAACATTGTGCAGAACTTTTTTCATGTTCTTTTAAACTATTCTAATTCTAATAGTTCTCTCTCTCTCAATTTTAATTCAGAAAATAAAATAGATTATCTCTCTTTCACTATAAATGTTTTACACATTTTATGTACTATTTTTTAAATTATCATTTTAATGTTTACTAAATATTTTAATTTTATTAGTTTTGATAATATATTTGGTACTTTAAGATATGAATGAAATACCGACAATTTTAAAAAATATATATACAGAGAACTCAGGTTAAGAGTTTATAATTGAATTTTGTTACACTTTCAATTTTACACCCTTTCTTTACTAAAATTTTATAATCTTGTTTGTTCATTTATTTAAAATTTATTAATTTCCCTTATTAGAATCATCTTCCTCCTCTTCTTCTTTCCTCCTAGATCAATTAGAGGATTAAATTTCATGTGTATCACAATAGTGTAAAATCTAGTTTTATTGTGCGGTGGTAAAGTGGAGCCATTCTTCTCGGCACTTCTAATTCTTAAAAGTTGAAGATTAATTAAAATAAATGGTTTCAAGCATCGTGCTAATCAATATATTAATATATATTGTTAAATATTAAAATACGTAAAAAGTTATGTGATTCATAAGTTATTAGCAACATTATTCACTTTAAATTTAAGTTTTATGCAAAGACATAGGATGCTTGGTTCTTTAGTCTCTTATATAATATACTCTAAGCCCTTGAATCATTATAGCAGTTAGGTGTGTTCAATTTGAATCCGTCTCGATTGCCCCGATATCGTCCTGATCATATTGGAACGGGTCTTATCCCGACTCAAAAATAATCGGGATGAGATTTTATGGGACGAGACAGGAAAGGGATCGGGAGGGGATGAGACACGAAATTACCACCGTGATGTCCCGTCCTGTCCTGAATATATATATATATATATATATTTTTTTTATTTTAAATATATTAATTATATTAATATAATTTATACTTCTATTAATTGTATCAATTATAATTTCAATACTTGCAATTCTTATTTAAAACTAAATTTTTTTTATATTGATAATTTTAATAACATGGACTAAACATAACAATATCTTTCTTATAATATATTAATTATATTAATATAATTTATTCTTATATCTATCTAGTTAATAACTTTTATTTATATCTTATTTCTTGTTTATTTTCAGAAGAGTAATTAGTTTAGTACATCTCCACTAAAGTAGAAGAATAATAATTTAATATTGTACTTGACTTACCTATTGTTGCTACTTTTATAGCTTAAAGATCACTTATATTTACTATTATAATGTGTAGTTATGAATAATGTAATTCAATAATTGACTTTAAATTGTTGTGATTTATGTACTTGTATTATTTTAATTTTAAACTCAATAAATTATATGATTTAAAACTTTAATAAACTTTATTATTCAGATCTTTCTTTAATATTATCCGATTTATTGGGATGGCGGGATGTCTTGATTTTGTCTCGGTCTCGTCCCAACTCTTAATGAGACGAGACAACTTTCGAGACAGAATAGGACACGGGATCAAAATTCAGTCCCAATCTTTTTTTTTTGAGACGAAAGACGAGGCAAAGGTGTCCCGGTCCCGTCCCATGAACACCCTTAATATTAGCAGTGCTCCTTCCATCCCTCATTTTTAAGTAATTAAACAATTTTGGCCTTGTCTTGAAAAAAAGAAAAGAGATATTAATTATGTGCTTTACTTGCCATCACTATTATATTAATTAACTTTATTAAGGGTAAAGTTAAAAAAATTATTGTAATTTGATACAATTTTAATTAAATAATAAATTTTTATTAGTATGTAAAATTCAGTTAAAAATATTTTATATATAGCGACAAATGAAGTAATAATTTTGGCCTATAAACTTGTGTTTAATAAATGAAACAAATCTTGACCAAAAAATAACATATGAAATAAATCTTATCTTATATATAATAAGGTGAGATGATTTGCTTTGTCCAATGAAATTTACAATATTAGTACTAACTCAAGTTAGTGTTAGTCGTGAATTTTCTTGTTAATTAGGCAAGTGATTGAAAATTTAAATTCTTTTTTTTTCCCCGTATGTAGTATCAGTTATAAGAGATCATTTCAATTTTTTTTTTTTTGGTCAATGAACCTCACACTAACTTACAGTCTTTTATTTTACTATCCATTTTTCTAAAATAAAAATCATGAATAAGATAGTAAAAGACCGTTCCTGTCAATAGGCACTTTAGAGCCAATGCGATCATGAATAAACATGTAATATAAAATCTACAAAAAAGTATATCTATAAAACATTCCCTTCAGACTTTATGCGATCCACAGTGCCTATAATTTATACCCTGTTGGCTTGATAGAATGAAATAAATGGAATGAATTGAAGAAATAAATATAAAAATATAATGGTCAATCATATTTATAAGGGTGAAAAATAATTTAGTTTATGAGATTATAAATCATGATTGATGAGATTTATAGTGAATATCATGATTCTTATATTTATAACACGTGATATTGAGTTTTACCATGCTTATTTGATAATGTAATTTATTTTTACTCTTATTTTTTTAAATTATTCAATTACTGTGATAACCAAATGGCTCTTTAATAATTTAGACCGTAAACAAATACTCCCTAAATCTTAAAGGCTAGATAACTAATTTACAGAGATTAAGAAAATTAATTATTTGTAAAATAAAGTGTGTCGATTTCTGTAAAATACTCTTTTTAATTGTTTGCACTGGAAACTCTTTCCATTAATAAAATCCCTTTTAATACGTACAATCAATAAGAATAATTTGAAGAAAGGGGAAATTTCATTAACCAAACTTATTTAAAGTCAACTCCCAAAATTTTTGAAACATCAATTCAATACTTGTACGTTTCATTTGGCCAAAATTGAAATCCAGTTTTTTAAGGAAATGACACGAAAAACATCAGTTGTTCTTTTTTTATGTCAACTACTTGATCATCCTTGGATTGCATGGATTGCATGGGATGTTATTTTTACAATTTATTTTAAATGTTAAATAACGATAATCAATACATATTAAGTAGTTATATGAGTAAAGTAATAAAAAGAAATAACTTCTTGATCAATAAATAAAATGTAATAACCCAAATAAAGAAAAAAAATAAGGGGATAACATGATTCTGGATAAATTTTAAGCATAAAAATAAAATGGATGTAGCAATTTGTTACGCAGAATAAAGATAGATAAAAATTTAAAAAAATTTAAAAGTACAAAACCTCAAGGAATAGGTAGCTACCATACTTAAGTTAGATCATTAAAAATCTCCGTATACATTACTCCTTTAATCCTATTTATATAATACTTTCAATATGTTTCACTGGAACAAACAAAAATTTTAAAATTCATTAATTCTGTCTAAAAATTTAATAATTTTTTAACTTTATCCCTATTAAATATACATATTTTAATAACATTTTTTTTCAACATTCAATGAAGGTCAAATGAAGATATTTGAGATAAAAATTTAATAAGATGATTTATAAATAAAAAAATCTTTTCTCTTTACTTTATAAATAAAATTAAAGGGAGTATGTCAAATAACATTTGTAGATTTACCATCTATACCAATAATTAACATCTTCAACTATTGCCTACTTCACACACAAGATACAACAACATATAGTTGACCTTCACACACAAGATATAACAATATATAGTTGGCCGTGTGTAAAAACAAGTATTGGTAAATATAATACAATGCTAAGTATACTTTGAACCTAGCTTTTGTTTATGGTTATAGCAAAAGGCAATAAAACATGAAAATGTCTTTTGGAAAGGGTAGATGGAAGTTAAGAGTCAAATTATACATCCTTTTGTATAAGATTTAAAAAATAAATCATTTTTAGATAATTTAGAGATTTTATAAAAAAGAGATTAATTTTGTAAGTATTTTATAAAAAGAAAAATATTTTATATTGGGTTAATATTATAAAAAAAGTTATTATTAATTAGTTATCTTTAATTTTTTTTTGGATATCTTCATTAATTTTTATTTTATAAAAATAATTTATGATTTAATTATTTAAAAAAATTTAATATCTTTGTATGTCCTGCATTTTTAATGACATTTTTCCAAATTTAAGTAATTTTTAAAAGTTTAAACAAACATGATAAAAACTTTTAAATTCTGTTATTTTTTTTAACGAAATGAAATTCATGTAACCATAAAAATAACAAATAATTCAAAGATATATTAGAGTGGGTTAAATTAGTGAATAAAATTTGTTTTTACATAAATTATAATTAAAAATAATTTTTTTAATTAATTTAGGGATTTATTCGAGTGAGCGGTAAGCTAGATAAATTTTGTTTTAATATAAATTTTAATTAAAAAACAAGTTTTTAGAATATTCTTGCAATATGAAAGATTCTTAACGGATTTAATAAATTAGACTAAATTGTATGTTTTTAAAATATAGGGGATGCATGTGTAATTAACCTAAACTAAAACGTAATTAGAGTGTTTTACTCAAAAAATATTAAAATTTAATATTTTTCAATCTTATTAAAATTTATTTTAGAAAAACATTGACCTATTTGATGGCTAAAGCTTAATTACTTGTTTATTCATTTCAA